CTCCTCATATTGGAGGTCTTTGTCTAACAACACAGAGTCCCATTTTATGATATAATCCCCGTCACCATGATACCTCATCAACATGGACACATGAAATATCGGGTGCACACTCGATAGATTAGGAGGTAACGCCAACCTATACACTACCGATCCTACACATTCAAGAACCTCAAAGGGACCAGTGTATCGCAGACTTAGCTTACCTTTCTTACCAAATCTCATCACCCCTTTCATGGGTGATACCTTAAGAAGAACATTTTCATCGGATTGGAACGCCATGTCTCTTATCTTATGATCTGCATACTTTTTCTGTCTACTCTAGGCTACTAAAAGTTTAGCTTGAATACTCCCCACCTTATCTTGAACATCTTTCACTAAATCAACCCCCAAAGGTTTCACGTCGCCAGCCTCAAACCATCCTATGGATGATCTACTTTCCCTCCCATATAATGCCTCAAGCGGTGCCATATCAATATTGGAGTGATAACTGTTATTATAAGAGAATTCACACAAAGGTAAGAACTTATCCCAATGCCCTCCAAAATCAATCACACATGCCCTCAATATGTCTTCCAATACTTGAATAGTCCTCTACGATTGTCCTTGCGTCTGTGGATGGAAGGCTATACTAAAAGTGAGTTGTGTGCCCAATTCATCATGCAATTTCCTCCAAAATTTGGATGTGAATTGGGTACCACGGTCTGAGATGATAGAAAGGGGCACCCCATGCAACCTCACTATCTCTTTCACATAAACTTTAGCCAATTGTTCAGCATTATAATCTATTCTTACCGAAGTAAAATTGGCTGACTTAGTCAATCTATCAACCACTACCAAAATATAATCAAACTTCCCCAAAGTCTTGGGAAGACCAACCACAAAATCCATGGCTATTCTTGACCACTTCCATCCCGAAATTGGCATTCTTTGAAGCAAACCTGCAGACCTTTGATGTTGATACTTCACTTGTTGACAATTTTGACACTTAGCCACGAACTCTGCTATATCCTTCTTCATGCCCGACCACCAATAAATTCTCTTCAAATCTTGGTACATCGTGGTCACACCCGGATGAATAGAATATCGCGAACCATGAGACTCTGCCAATAATTTCTCAATCAAGTCATCTACTCTAGGAACACATATTCTCCCTTTAAAATTGAGTACACCATCCACATCAAGAGTGGTCTCTTGTGCCTTACCATTCGCAATCT